AAAGGTTCACAGTCAATGCCTGATACATCAAATGATAAAGGAAAACGCAATTTGTTTGGAAATAGTAATGAACATTCTCCATCTCCTTTAAAAAAACAATGGTCACATTCTCCAAAAAGAAATAAAGGTATTTTATGGACTTTTTAGTTTATTAAAATGTTATAATATAATATCTTATCTATTTTACAAATAACTTATTTAAAAATAATTGAACTTCTATGCAACTACTATCAGATACCTTAAATAATAGGTAAAAAAAAAAAGTAAATATAAAGCAGTGCTTATTGATTTAAGACAGTGGACATTTTTTCAACCATGAAAAGAATTGCACAGTGTTAATTATTGAAATATCTTTTTATTTTAGATAATTTTTTTTTAAAATAAATAAAAAAACCTTTTTCAATTTTATAAAAATTGTTTCAACAAAAATATATTCTAAAAAGTAATTTTTATATGCTATAGTTAATGTTTCAAACAATATGGCTACAAATAAATTTGTTGTAAGAGCATCTACGGACAGCAAATCAAAATCACCAAATGAAGATTGTACTATAAATGATAACAAAAAAAATTATATAAATCTAAAAAATAGTTTTTAATTTTAATTTTTCAATTTCTTTATATTTAGATACAGAATTTAAAAAACAATTGTTACGCAACATAATGTATTTGAAAGTAGAAATTAAACATGTTGTAACAAATCAAAGTGAAATATTAGAAAGAATACAATCCATTGAAAAACAATTACAGGAAAAATCTTACCAAGATTCTAAAAATGTCGAGTTAAATTACATCGCAGATTATCATTTACCAATAGATAACGAAGATGACTTGAATACCCTTGAAGAAAAAACCTTAGATGATCAAGAGCTCAAAAACAATCTAGTAAATAAATATATATATATTAAATTTGAATAATATAAATAAAGATTATTTTTTAATGTTATTTTTGTTGATTATTAGGTTAAAGAACTTTCGTGTACTGGTGGAAAAAATGTAAAGAATTATGTCTAAATTGTTTTCAAATTCTTTTCTTTCACAGTATTCATTTACTGGGAAAAAAGGAAAAAAAAAATTTTGCAATTTATTTTTACTACCAATTATTTTAAGTAAGTGAATTATTAATATTAACAGTTAGTAGTAAATAATGATTAGTTATTAAATAGTGGTACACACATTAAAAGTAATTAATTATTGTTTTAAATAATTTAAAACTATTTTACTGTGCAAAGAATTATTTAAAATTTACAATTTTTGGACTCATCTGATTTTGTAGTGTACATTTGCTTTGATTTGTGTTTGATACCAACTAAAAGATAATTTTTAAGAAATATTTAAGTATAATCTGATTAAATATTTTACATAAAAATAACAACTATAAAAATAACAATACATTCAAATGAATAAAATAGACAGATACCCTACAATAGTTTACTCAATAGAAACAGAAATTAAAACAATATTTGGATAAACAGAAGTATATTTATTATTAAGTTATTTCTGTTAGTAGAATACTCATATTTTATTAAGTAATATATTAAAATATATCTATTATATATTTATTAAAGGAATGTTCAATGATTAGCATCTCTGAAGTTTTTAAAAATTACACATCAATTATGTGTCCATATACCTACCTTGTGTCCATGAAAGTTAGGTATACTATATAATTAAATTACCCAAATTACTCAGTACCATTCTATGTATATTTTTGAATTCTGTTAGTGACATAAAAAACAAAACTATTGGATCATCAATCTTCTGCAGACGGAATTCTAAAATATGTTTAGGGTACCTATGCTGACTAATATAGGTAACTGAATTATAGAGTGTACCCAGTTTTCGCGGACACACGGTATAATATAATATATTAATATATAAAATATATATACATATAATATGTATAATATTTTTTTTGTTATAACTTATAATATGCATTCATTTTTTTAGAGTCTATCAAGAGACAATTGAAATTTAAAACAATAAGTGACCATGAAATTGAGGAACCAATTAAAACATATTTGGCTCAAGCCCCATTCGCAGAAAAAAGGAAAAAAACCATTGATTAATTTTGTAATGATAATATTTAATTATTAATAAAATAAGCAACAGTGTAATTTTTTTTTCTAAATAAAGTGAGCTATAATATACATATGTTATATTAAGTTTATTTATCTGAAATATTCCTAATTTCATTATATATGTTATTAATATACAAATTAGTCTTTAATCTGAAATACTCCTAATTTCATTATATATGTTAATATACGAATTAGTATAAAGTATATAAAATATTTTAAATTTTTAAATAAATATTGTTTAATATTATATTTAAATATTGCATAATTAATTGGTTTGAATATTTATGATTCATTGATAAATAAATATAAATAAATATAAAATCTTGGTTCATTCAATAATTAATCAATATTAGAGAAATATTTAAAAAGATTTCCTCGATCAATAACTAATATTGAATATATATTTATATTTTGGAACATTGGTAAATAAATATTTGATCATTATTATTGAATGTAAAATTGTTACTTGGGGAGTGACGTTAAAATCGTCCACGGAAAACCTCGGCATAGCCAAAGTCAAGGTTCCATAGAAAGGGCAAACAGAGACGTAGAAGATATGCTTGCTACTTGGATGGCACAAAATAATACAAAGGATTGGCCAAATGGCTTGAAATTTATTCAATTTCAAAAAATACATTACCATTCAGGTAATAATTAACTTAACCTATTTATACTATAATCAAGTTTTAATTTTATTTTCTATACATGGTTTGTATACCTATAATTATAAATATTTTTATATTAATATTATTTTTATTATTAATTAATATTATGTATTATTATTACTATATAGGTATTGGTAGATCACCGTATGAAGCCATGTTCGGATGTCCAGCAAAAGTAGGATTAGCCTCAATTTATATTCCAACAAATGAAATTGAATGTTTGTGTACTGAGGAGGATATTGAATCAATTCTACCACAAAATAGTGATGAAGACACTGGAAATATTTCAAGTCTAAGTGATGGATACTGTGAAAATTATACTAAAGATGAAGCAAAACTTGGTCTGTTTTTTGTATAATTTTTCTCATTAAATATAATTGAAAACATTTAAAATATTTTAGTTAACGAGCGACAAAACAAAATAACGAACGAACGAAAAAAATCAGTCTCATGTTTGCAGAAACAAGCAGAAAAGATGTTAAAGTCACCATCATCTCGATTTGATCCACTCGAAATAGGTTCAACCGTTAGAGTATCGATACCAGATGTAGATCGTGCTCGCGGAGCTCCGCGTAATTTATTAGCAGTCGTTTTAGATGTCGAAAATGATCTTTACAAATTAGGTGAGTACCCTTGTATAAATTATTCAAATATTTACAAAAAATGAATGTTATACTTTTAATATATTTACTGAACATGGACACCTACAACATAGATACACAAGATCTGAGCTAGTACCTTGTAAAGAAAAACTTCTCGACATACCTAAGTTCATCAAAGAAAAAGAGCTTACTCTTCGAGAGGCAGCAGGTTTGAGCAGTATTTCAGGCACTCAAGGGTACCAACGATGTCACTGCAAAACTAAATGTAAAAATAATAAATGTGTTTGTCGTTCTTCAGGCAAACTTTGTAATTCAAAATGCCATGGATCATTACCATGTGAAAATAAGTAGTTAATAATAATATATGATACAAGTACAACAATAACCATTTGTATAATTTTTTATCGTAAATTCCCGGTAATTGACGTAAAAATGTACTCATATAAATTAAAAATGGATATTAACGATATTTACCGGTTAATTACGTAAATTATTATTACTTTTCGTCATTTACCGTAACATATATAAATATGTAACTGTTATTAACTATAGAATCTTATAATATAAAGAACATCAAATAATAGTTATTAGATATACTTATAAATTAGCTTAACTGAGGGTTAACGATCGGGCCATGAGGTGTCGACGTGTCGTGGGCGCTGATATCCGATGTGGGTTAAGCTGGCCGTCCACAAGTCCTCTTCAGGTCGTTGTCAGCTCTCGACTTTCACTGTCGACCATCCACTATGACTCTTGAATCTTGACTCTGCTTGTGACAATCGACTCCACTACTGACTCTATCTATTTTCCGCCAGGAGTTCCGGTGGGTTATTAACACGATGTCAGCTAAACATCACGTCAGCATAATATATATTTCATACATATAATATACACATTTTTCATTACTAACACCCAGCATATTAGCCGTGCTAGACGTAGTGAGTGATGTACGATGTCGATGACGACATGTCCGTTACATGTACCCCTTGTCCATTTAAATCTGGACCCCAGATTTGGGAAGTCAGCAACTGAAGCAACTGCAGCTGTGTTAGTGGTAGTGTTGTATTTTTTTGATTTCATGTTCATTGTTCATCCAGTAGAAGGAATAACGGTACTCCGACCTCCTCCGACTGTATTTTCTTGCTGGGCTGTGAAACATGAATTTTGTAGGCATACAAACACCAATAAGGCACCAAGGCAACGGTCATGCGTATTTATTAATATTAATAACATATGTTTATTACATATTATTGCTTGAAAGCGTCTGGTTAGTGGAGTGAATTGTCGTTGGCTCTTCCGTCCTTGAATACCGACACCCACGGCTGTCTTCACTTACCCCTTTCAGTTTCCTCGAGTTCAGTGGCGTAATTGGGGTGTCGCAAGTGTCGCACTTGCAACACCAAACAATTTTCAGGTGTTGCAAAGGTATCGTTTTGCAACACCAAAAAATATTCAAGTTCGTAATACCCCCCCAGATAGAAAATGTGTAATGATAATAATATTATATTATTGTTTTTACATTATAAATAATATTATTAGAAAAATAATGTTATAATTATATCACAATTACGTAATTAATATAATATTTTTTTAAGTAATCTATTAATACTATTATTTTAATATTTTTTGTATACGGCATTAATAACGTTATTTAAAAAATATTATAATTAAGTTACTACTACAAAACTATTATAATGTTTTTACTGTAATTAATTAATAATAATATTTTATTATTTTTAATGTACTGTATTATTAATAATATTTTTAATAACAGAATAATATTATATTTGTGTTCATAATAATATTCATTTTATTTATATATATATAATATATTTAGCTGTGCCATAATTATTTGCGTACTATATTTAGGTACCTTGTGGTTTGTGGTAACCTACCTATATTTTATAATATATACCCAGCTAGTGCTCGAAATTGTGAGTGGTCTCAGGCGGGGATGGAGTACTACATTTTATAGCGTACCTACCCTTACTATAATTTTTAAGGGGAACTCAAGGGAAGCTTCATCATATCTGAAATTTTATAAAAATACACGAGATACCATCATAATTATATTGTCTTAAGGATTATTTCATAACCGTGTATAAGTTAATAATATTAACTAATTATTAAATTATTACTAATAGGTAGCTATTAATATGTATTTACAATTTACTATTTACTTAATTATCATTTTGAGTTTGTTATTATAATAATTATTATTATCCTGTATATTATTGGGGGTGTGCGCCACTGAGTATAAGTATATGCATATTAATAAATTAATACTAAATAATATTTTTAGCTAATAACTATAATAAAAGGTTTTTCGTAGGTATATAAATTGTATACTTATAAGGAATATATTATATTAGGTGCCATCAAAGAGTAATACACCAAGTAAAATATGATACACCATGATATAAATATAATACTTATAACAATTATTTTTTATACCCAGTGGCGGACTGAACTTAAATTTTAAATGACGCAATTTCATATTTTAGTATATACAACCACCACCACCTCCTAGTCAGGGACGTACCTAGATCAAATTTTTGGTGTGGGGGGGGGGTAAACCTCCCCACCGATTCTGACTTGAATATAATGTCAAGGCTCACAAATATGGGGGGAAATTCTCCTCCCCTCAGTTTTCAACTTTACTCGTATTATGATACAAAAAATATTACACTTTCTTAAATTCTATGTATTATGTTTAAAGTAAATATTTGGCAAGTTTTTAAGTGGTCAATAAGCATATGAGTTTGAAATTAAAACTATTGTGTAAGTACATTACATATATACATACAAATATACAATACTATTCTCTATATAAAAAAAAATATTATCACAATAAAAACTATACAAAAAAATAAAAAAATTAATTAAGAACTTTATTAACAAGTCATAACAATGACAATAACAGACATTTTTTATGACAAACTTCAAATGTAGTATTTTTTAAAAGTTAATGCATTTTTTAAGAGATCTGAAGACTGTAAAAATTTATCAATAACAATATTTATATCTATTGGAATATCTCTTTCGCAACTCAGAAGTAAGAGACTTTCTAATCTACCTTGCCCCATTGTTGATCTTAGTCTGGTTTTAATCAATTTCACCTAGAATTTCATGTTTAGAATTTATTAAATAATTTTTTTTATTGTGTATTACTAATTTATAAAGACAATATACTTAATTACTACCTTTGAAAAAGATCTTTCAGCTGATGCAGATGATGCTGGAATTGTTGCCAGAGCTCTATACGCAACGTGCAAATTAGGAAAGGCTGAGTCAAGTCCATACTTTGTCAATAATTGAATTATAGTTGTAATAGTTACATTTTTATTCAAATCAATATTTTCATCCATGATATTCAAATTTCCGTCATTACTTGAACAATCATCATTCTCATCAATCTCAGTATTTTGTACTTTGCTAGTGTCGTCATGAATCTCAGTAGGTAATTCTAATCCATTTATAAGTTCATAAATATTATTTTTAAATTGAATATATTCTGTCCTGAGTTGGTCAGTATTGATGTTTTCAAGCCACAGTGAAATGTGTTGAAAACAATCACTGGGCAGATTTTGTGAATCTTTCGCCATTAAACGATCAGAATTTAATATTGCCAAATCTTTTAGTATTTCTTGTGATTGACTAAATCTTTCATGTAATGACATTGTTATTTTATCAAGAGCAGCATAATATGTCTTAATTTTAAATTGAACCATAGAAGAAACATTTGAATTATCATCTGGAGTTTCTCCTGCAAGTAACTTGCTCGTCCTTTTTCTCATTTCTTTAAAGTCTTTTTCTGGTACGTTATTAAAATTCGCAAATTCCTTAACTTCGTTAATAAATACTTCATACTTGCATTCTGATCGCATTTCACTTAACTTTTTTTTTGCCACATTAACTAATTGTATTGCTTCAAAGAAATCAATAGTTTTACACTGTAGGTAGTTAGAAAGTGGTGTAGTCACAATGAAAATATTTTTAAAAAATATTAAACATAATACAAACTTAAAAGTTGAAATTATCTTTAAAAATGTCCTTGAACTAGATGCTGTAATTCTATCACTAGAATTTTGTAAGACTTCTAAAGCATCAATCAATGCTTTATATTTACAAAATATGACATTTAAAACTTTACCATGTGAGGTCCATCGAGTATCTGAAAAACTTTTCAATCGCAAAACTCTATCATCTTTATACATTTTTTTTTTGGCATTCAATAAAAACAGCTGCTCTTTTGCGAGCTTTTAGAAAAAATACTAATGATTGAACATCTCCAAAAAAATTTTTAGTATCAGTACATGAATCACATGTATCTACCACTACTAAGTTTAATATGTGGGCAAAACACCAAACGTAAATTGCTCTAGGATTTTTATGTTGAATAAAACTTCGTAGACCTGAATAAATTCCTTGCATAGATGCTGCACCATCGAATGATTGTGCACACAGATGTTTTTCCCAGTTGATGTCATATTTACTTGTTATTGTACAAAAGGTATTGAATAATCCTTGTCCTGTAGCATCACTTGCAGTTTCTAAAGCCAACAATCGCTCTTCTATTACACCAGTACTGTTAACATATCTCACTATAAATGTAAACTGTTCTTGGTTTGATATATCCGTAGTGGTATCAATTATAACAGCAAAATGGCAAGCATTTTTCACATCTTTCAATATTTGTGCTCGAACCATTTCACCTAATATACTCAACAGTTTTTCTTGACTTTTAGAAGACATACATGTTAATCTGTTATTATTACTTTTGTTTATTTTTTCAAGATGCATCATAACAGGGGCACTGTGACGTCCTATGACTTTTAATAGTTCTAAAAAATTTCCGCGGTTTAATGATTGAACATTTTCATTGTGTCCTCGTAGCGATATATTTTGTCGAGCAGCAAAAATCAATACCTCAATAACAGTTCGAACCACTTCACGATTAGCACATATAATTAATTGGTCATTTAGATCAATTCGATTACTTTGTAAATATAGACCCCGACTGATTTCTGACTGTATATGATTATGTGAGTGTTCGTGATTATTAATAATTCTTTGTATATTAGACCAATCATTTGAACCATTCAAAGCTAAATTTGATTTTTGGGCTTTTGGTAAACCAAAAAGTTTACAGGAAATACAAAAAATAAGATCCTTACTTGGTGAATAAGATAGCCAAAGTCTTCTAGATTTATTATTGTTTGCCAAATTTTTGTAATAATAAGACTCGTGGAAAGATCTATTCATATGATTCCAGTCTTTTTTTTTTTAAATGAATGTTGGGGTAAATCATTTGGTGTTGGCTGGCAAGGGCCAAGGTTGGCGAAGTAACTCAATAGTTCAGCAGATATAGAACTAGGGATATAAGCAGGATCATTGTCAAATTTAGTTGTTTCTATGATGGGTATCTCTGTAATAAATAATCAATACAATTTTATTAAATCAAATATATAGTAGGTAATTGAATTCTTATTTTAAACAACTCTCCAGCTATTACTTTTTAAATAACAAACACTAATTAACTAAATACTAACAAAAATTATTACAAAATATTACATTCAGTAAGTTTAACACTTTGAGAAGCTAGCAACAGGGTATTAACGAAAAATAAAATTTTTAACTCGAAAAATGGTAACAACCAATGCAGTATCTGCTTCAAGCAGGGTTATTTAAGTAACATTTTTGATAAAAATATTTTATACACAAATAATGAAAATCTCAATGTGTAATAAATCTCGTTAATTTAGATTTTCAATATATCATCAACATATAATTAAAAAATATTTGATTTAGAAAATATACTTGAAGTAATAATAATAGATGAAATTATAAAAAAAGTATGCATATAATAATAATAATATAATATATAATCATTAATAACAAATTTTTTTTAAATAATAAAAGCTGAATATTTTCTTATGGTTTTTTAATTGTTAAAAATATATTTTTTAAAACCTATCAAAATAAATTAATAGCCTATTAATAAAAAATTAATTAATTACCTTCTGAATTAGTAGATGTTACAAAATCATTGTTCAAGTTAATACTACGATCAATATTCAACTCATTTTTCTCATCTGCAATACTATGGTCCAATGAATTCTACAATCGAATTCAACTCATAATATGCAAGACTGTGGTCCAATGAATTTGAATTACCAGATACTAGAAAAACCAAATTACATTTTACAATTTATTATTATATTAAAAAATTAAAAATGTTGAATACCCTACCAAAAACTTTTTTTTTTTTAAAACAGTAAGTTTGTATCTAGGATAGGTATATCAGGGAAATGTGATTAGATTAAAAACTAAGAAGTATTAGTGCTTACCGTTATTGGCTTGGATTTTTATCCTTTTATTAAAAAAATTATGAATTGAGTTTGACTGCAGTTGTACTTTGTTTAATTTTTTTTTCCTTTTGTTAGTAATGTTTTTTAATGCACAAGCATTAGTGTGTCTCTTCCAATTGGTTGAATTCATATTACGATCTCTAATACGTCCACACGTAACACAATTATTTGCAATTTTTTTAATTTAAGTTATTATTGTAAGATAATAAAGTAAAATATGCACAAACTTTTCACAATATCACATCGGTATGATTATAATACGGAGATATTGTAGGGAATGAACAATAAAAAGAGAAATAAGAGTACAATATAATGAACATGGGAAAAAAATTTAATATATTATACTATATAGCTATTAGTAAATAATTTAATTTACTCTGTTGTGAATTTTGGTGGTGATGGTGGTGTTCGTTATACGGATACGTTATCGGATACGCATTACGCGATGTTATCTATTATGATCAGATTTTCCAAAAATTGTTGGTATTTAATTTATTAATAGATTCAGACGGACGGTCGTTCGGTTGGGGAAATGGGCAATCAATTCATATTTCTATTATTATTATATTTGATATATTCTGTGAAATTATAAACAACGCACAAGACGTATCTAACTCTCAACAGATAACGTCGTACCCGTATTAGTTCTATTTTCATTAATTTTTGAATGTATCTGCTTTTACCGCGTTTTACGTCGCATTTTGACTTTTGTTCACTCGTTCACTGCCATATTGGCTGTCAGGCGAAGGCTGTGAATCTACAGGACACATTTCACAGCTCACCGCGGCGGTATGTGCCACGTATAGTACTTATAACTTATAAGTAATTCAAATTTAAAATCCTTACCTCCGGCGGTTTGTTTTTTCTTAATAAATTTTATTATTCTCATAGCCTTACACAAGTACGGCAGTTCGACCCACCCTTTCATGTTGAGGTACAGGCCTCAGAAAATTATCTTTAATACGCACTAACACGGGCCCCTTACATAAGGCGGCTGAAAATTAAAATAGCTATTCACGTCATCGCCAACTACTAAAGTGTTTGAAAAGAATTGCGTGACTAAGATAACATTGCTACAATGCTACAAATAGTACCAACGAGGCACAGACGGAGTTTGCGTGTCTCGTCCTCTCTAACGCCAGACACAGTGTATTGCATAATGTATTTACTACATTATTTCTATTTATGTATTGCATAGGTGATAGCCGATAGGTAAAATGTGGTCAAAAGAACCAAGAAGTCGAGCCATAGGCCGGGGTGGCACCAGTGCACCACCCCTTTGTAACATTGACGCAGCTGCAATTCTGAACATTCTGAAGTAAATAATGAAGAAAATGTAAGTTCTACTAGTACTAATAATGATAATTCAGCACCTGTCGATGTTGGATATAATTCTGCAGAGTTACAAAATGTTGTTGACAATAATGTACAAAAAAATATATTTTTTGATGCATTAGATATTGGTAACTTTAGACAATCAAAGTTCAAAGTTAAATGATGATAAAAAATATTTTGCATTGACAAAAACATGGAGGCCGGACATTTTATATAACTTTCCCAAAGTTAAAGATTCAAGAAAATTTCAATTAAAGTGGCTTAACGATTTTCCTTGGTTATCTTATAGTCAAAAACACGAAGGAGTTTATTGTAGAACTTGTGTGTTATTTTCTCGCGATGTAGGGGGGAGAAGTAAAGAAATTTTGGGTCAATTATGTACAAAACCATTAAACAAGTATAAAAAAAGCTTTGGAAGTGTTTAAAAAACATTCAAATAACGATTATCATAAATTTTCAATTCTCAAAGCGGATGATTTTAAAAATATTGTAGAATCTGCTGAGAAGTCTGTAGTAGTTAAATTAAATTTAAATGTTCAAAAGCAAATTGAAGAAAATCGAAAAAAACTTATCCCTATAATCAATACAATTTTTCTTTGTGGTCGTCAAAACTTTCCGTTACGTGGGCATCGTGACGATGGAGATTTGATTCAAAATAGTGTAAACAACGAAGGGAATTTTAGAGAGCTTTTAAAATTTCGTATAGATTCAGGTGATGATGTTTTGAAAAATCATCTTCAAAATTGTCCAAAAAATGCTAGTTTTATTAGTAAAACTACACAGAACGATTTAATCGATTGTTGTGCTAGTGTAATTCTCCACAAAATTGTAAATGCCATTAAAGAATCAAAATATTTCTCAAAATTAGTTATTGTTGAAAATACATCTGGTTTAAATCTTTCCAAAATAATACTACACCAATTAGATGACTTGGGTCTTAATATAAAATATTTGCGTGGTCAGGGCTCTGACGGAGGTGCTAATATGTCCGGAAAATATCAAGGTGTACAAGCTCAAATACTAAAAATTCAGCATCTTGCATTATACAGGGTGTCTCAAACAGTACTGACATATGGAATAACTTTTTTGGTATTCGATGTTTTTTTTTTTTTTTTGTTTTATTTGTAGACGCTTGCGCTACATGTTTTATATAAAGAAAAATTTTTTACTTTTTTAATTCTGAAAATAAAAAATTTTAAATTTTATAAAAAATGTATTTGAAAAATTCAAAATAGCCAATTTATAAAGCCGATTTTTAGAAAAATTTTGATGGTTCAAGTATTTATAAAAGTGTTGCCGTTAATTTTCTACAAATTATTTAGTTTTTGGAAATATGAACAATTTTTTCCTTTATCATATCAAAATAATCAACAATCATCAGTCATCACTGATACCTGATTAGACGTAGTAATCACTATTTATTTTCCTAAGAGTTTTTATCAGTTATCACCATTTACACCGGCAGCTAATGCACAGAAATAGATAAGAGCATTACTGAGATAATAAAATTACTGGTTATGTTATAGTAAAAAAAAAACTTTTATGTTACTACGTTTAAAAAGGTTTAATAGAATTAATAACAATAATACAATAATGACATACATGCATCAACGAAATTTAGTTCAGTAATCAGTTAATTCAGTTGCTACCTAATATCTATTTTAAATAATTTTCAAAATGCCCACCATCGTTTTCTGTACGTTTTTCATATCGCTCTAATATTGACGATGTGACCGACTTTAACATTTGTGATGTGACTTTTGTACATGCTTTAGTGATGCGCTCCTTTTAAATCATTCAGAGAAGTCGACTGTTCTGAATAAACGTTATCTTTTAAGTAACCCCATAAAAAAAAATCTAAAGGAGTTAAATCAGGAGATCGTGGAGGCCATTCCAGTGGACCACGGGTACCTAACCAACTTTGTGGAAAATGCGGGTTCAAGTAATCTATTACTACTTTTGCATTATGAGCAGGAGCACCATCTTACTGTATCCACATTGTTTTCCGAATTTCAAGAGGGATACACTCCATCAATAACGGCAATGTATTTTCTAGAAACTCTAAATAACGTTGCCCACTTAGAGTGCCATCATAAAAATATGGACCGACCAATTTATTTATTTATTTTTTATTTATTTTATTTATAAAATCATAAATGTTAAAATTGAATAAATTAGTTATAATACATAATACTTTGACTATACATTTTTAATATTACCTGTAGCTTTTAATGTTTGTACAACATTTGTAATCGTGGATCGTGAAGGTTGTCTTCTTTTGGGAAATTTTTGTAGGTATAACTGTATAAGCGACATGTTTGAACTGTACTTTTACCACTAGTATAAAACATTTCTATCATGTCAGAATACTCTACATTAGTATAAGTAGGCGGCACATTATACATGTATACTAAGAAGTATTTGCTTTTATTTTTTAGAACTTGCTTAAACAAAAATTGTTGACTTGTTAGGATAAAAAAAGTGGTGTCAATGATAAAAACAAATCGGTAACAGTTATTTTTACCTAAAAATTTACTTATTAAATAAATGTAGGTATAA